AGCCCCAACAGCAGCGCCGTGACGGCGGAGCCGCTCGCAGATCCGGACGCGATTCAGGTCTGTAAAACTCGGCTACTCTTTTTTCCTGCGCCTTTCCTATGAGCGTGTGGCCCTCTGTTTTTCGGTTTTGGCCAACTATTGTTACGCCTCGTACAGGTCTGTGTTTCAAGGGGTCTCCGTAAAAATTCTGTCCTGTGTCTTTTAATAGGCGATGATGCGATCGGGTAATTTTGGTCTCATCAGTTGTAGCATTTGAAGGCTCAATGAAATGTCTCTTACCTTTAGCTTGTGATGCAGAATATCTTACATGGCTGGTGATCTTCTGAGTTATATTTTCCTTTCTTTCATTTTCCTCTTAGAGCAGGGACATTTAGACATCTGCTTTTTCCTCATGGCATGTCGAGGTTCAGCTAAAGAACTTTGTCATCGAACAGTCTGAATCGCTCTGGCTATCTGATGATGAAGGCAGATTTTCAGTGTGTAGAAAGAGAGGCTCGAAGCTTAAACTTCTACGTTTCTGTCTTTGCTTTCTCTATTCGCACCTGGGTAACAGGTGTAGAAAAAAGGTCTTTATTTACTGTTCTTTTGGTGTTGCCTCCCGAAGGGAAAGGTACATGGGGATAAGTGAATAGAGAAGTAACAGGGCATTCCTTCACAAAGAATTCTCCTCCCCTCTTCCGTGCGTCATCATTCTTTTGCAGGAAGGTAGCCGTGTAAATGGCAGGTTTCAGTGAACAAATGAAATTAGTCTGGTTCACGTCACTGCCTGCCTCGATAGTTGTCAAAAGTGTATGGGAGGGTTTTTCGTTCAATTTGTCCTGACCAAAATTATTTACATGTATTCTTAGGTCTTTTTTGTGTAGCATCACGAGTGTTCAGGTTCAGCGGAAATAATTTTGTTTACTAAGCTTGGGTTGTCTGAAATGGTAGGGATTGCTGCAGTTCCAAACTGATCCTTAATCGATCAATTAGATCTACTAGTTTTACATGATGGTCTCATGAAAAGTGGGTGAATATTTTTCCTTCCTGGTCTCTCTTTCCCGAAGCGAACAACTGGGAATTGGGTGGCTCCTGAGTAATTCTGTATTTGTTAGCGCTGGATCGCTCCTGAACTCCAGAGGGAACAAATGAGAGCTTCCCTAACGGAAGTTCAGCTTTGTGCGATTCCATGCTTTGCTGGAAGGCGTCAGGAGAAATGACAGCTTTAGTCCCTCTGGACTGGACGCTGCCTCTCCGTAAGGACTTTGCCCGCCTGCGAAAGCTGCCCTTGGTCAGGGCAGGGCGGGCAGCGCTCGGCAGCGCTCGGTGCTGCAGTGCCGGGAGGAGGCTGCGGGCGCCGCTGTTGACCGAGAGGAGCGAGAGGAAGCTCGGAGCGCTGCAGC